AATAAACAAAATCTCCAGTTCATTGTTTATTAAATTTATTTAAAAGCAGAAAACATATATTTCACAAAATACAATACCTACATATGAAAAATAAAATGTCAAAAATGATTAAATCCTTATACTTAATATTTATGCATGTGATAAAATTCTTAGTTTCCTAGTAACTTTTTTGGCACATTTTATATCTGCATTAGAATACCTAAGTGTGTAAAAATCTTCATCTTATTACTACACAAAACAAACACCAAAAAATATCACTTAACATTGCTCACGTACTAAACACAACTTGGACTGACTTTGACATATAACATCATTTTGAGTGATACACAACTTATTTTCGCACATGCGCGTTACAAAACGGTACACTTAAAACACCAAGCTGTCGCTTCTCCTTGATCGTTATTCTCGGATCAAACTCACTACCAAACCTTTCTAAGACCAAACCAGTAAAAAAGTGAAAACTTTGACATTTGTAAAACAGTGGAGTACCGGTGTTTTTTCTTCTTTAGGTTTATCCAAACGAAAAATTGGGTTAAAAGAACCCCAATTCAGGTCCATTTTTGATAGTGGCTATGGCTATGTCCATGGAGTCAACTAAGTCCATGGATTCCACTGAGATTCTTATTCTGAAACTCAAATGACCGTATTCGCCATCTATACACAACCAAACTTATATGGAATCATCTATTATTTTTTATAATTTTTGAGATGTTTGAACATTTTTTGTTTATGAATAACACTCTGTCCTTATCAAAGACTTTTAATAACAAACAACCCACATGGCAATAAAAATAATTAATTAGTTGACAAAATTAACACAATGGTATTTTTTTGCTTTCCGAAACGAAATGAGATTTAAAGTTTATTAGCCGCAAAGCAAAAACAAAAAGAAAATTGGTAATTTTATCAATCCGTGTTACCACCTTTAGCCCTTATGCTTCTGTTCGCCTTGGCATGCTTCTTACTAAATTGTCAACATTGTCTTGGGGGTGTTTTAATACTATTATAAGTATTTTTAGAGGGTATTTATTAAGGATGCTTTATATTTATTTGAGATACTTTTATTAGATCGATAATACATTTGGACCAGGTTGACATTCGGAATAATGTTGACAATATGACAATTGACATGAAGTATGACATTTTAGTAATAAGTACGTTCAACATACAACAGGTACGTTCAACATCAAACAGGGGGTATGTTTTACCATTCTGTTAATGCTGCATCAATAAGCTGTACGACATTTCCTGCATTGTTTCGACGAGCTCTAACCTTTCTTTTGAGCTGGTCCCACGTGTTACAATTGAGTTTTTGCTCCCAGCATAATACCTCCTCAGAACATTACAGTTCCTCCTTGATATCTTGACAGGTCTCGCAGCGTGGAATCTCGCTCATCTTCCTGGAGCTCTGAGAACCCGAATTCGATGGTCATCTGATCTTGGGCCAATTCAGGTCTCATCCGAAAAAAGAACATTTTGCCAATTATAAATTGTTCAGTTTTGGTGTTGAAGGCACCAATTTAACTGGTCAATTTTATTTTGCCTAGATAACGGTGGGACCCCTACTGTACAATCCTCGAGCGCCTTTTGTTGTCTTTTTGGACCGAAATAAAATTACCGGAGGATCGTGATTTTACTTCTGAACACAACATTTACAAGATAATAAATCGCAGCAGTCGTTTATTTTTTATTATTATGTTTGTTTTGAACAAAAAGCCTTATCTTAAAGTTGGATACCAATTTTTTTTCCTTACAAAAAGTTTATTCAGAAATACACAGTGATTCCATATAACGCACACTCAGTAATAAAGTGGCATAATTCAAAACATACTGCATTGGAGTAAGGAGTAACAACGTCATTTAAAAAGTTCTACATACGGAGGGCGCCATTTTGGACCGTTTACCGATTGAAAGAGTAAACACGCAAATTTGAGTTATGCCACTTTATTACTGAGTGTGCGATAAGTTTGGTTCTGCGTATATGTGAGACCCATGGCTGGGTAAGGACGGTTCATAAGCATTGCTTCTCTTATAATATTCCTTTACTTAATATTCGTGCGTTTGTTTTAAAGAGTAAAAAACTAAAATACAAGATAGGTGCCTCTTTTGGTTTGGAAATCAACAAAAAAGATTTAAAATTAATAGGAAAAACTGACAAAATAGTGTATGATTTTGAAGTAAATGACTCATCTTCAAGTAACACAAATTAAGATAAATATTGAAAAAAATTCTGCCGTCGGCATTTTTCGTAAACGTAATAATGCCAAATAACTATTTTTAAATATAATGAATCTATTTTCCGTTGAGTTATATTCATCATGATCCAAAATCATTTCATAGGTACGGAACACATTTTTGGCACAGCATCAAGACTTATATACATATGTCACATCTCTTTTTCTATTCGAACAAAAGTTTGACAGCGGAGAGAATTTGCCCTATCTACCATTCAACCATAGTTTATTTTCGGAACTACTAGAAGCGACAGAAGTCATTAGGAACTTTAATATTTGTAATGAAAGAAACAAGTGAAATAATATTAGACTACTTAAAACTCAAACTAAAAAGGAGCCACTTTAAAAAAATATAGATATTTGTTTAAGGAATTAATTTCTAAAATTCTATTTTTGTTAAAATATTTGGACTGTTTTGTTCAATAGGAAATGTTTTTTGTACAGTAGGTTATCGAGCTTTCGCTTAATTCCATTACAAATCAGGCCATCATGAAACAAACCACAACACGTTAAGTTATGACATCTACCCACAAACTTTATACAGATTGTAACAAAATGCCAAAAAAAGTTTTTCCAATAATTCTGGAACTTCTGAGAACTGCTAAACGATTTGATTAGGCTAATTTTTAATAAAATATTTTTAATTTTCCACACTATCTACATTATTAGTGTATACATAACTCCCAGTCTGCTTATTTGTTGACTATTGTACAGTAGATTATGGATATATACTTTAGACTGACCTCTAAAAAATTAATAGATATTAACATTTGATATATATAAAAATGCATAAATTAAAAAGTTACTTCTACATTCGCTTTCATCAGAACATCAAAAAATGCCCTACTAAACATAAAACTATACATGGAACACAGTCTGTTCAAAATAGACTAATTTTTAATAAAATATTTTCAATTTTTACACACTGAAATACTTGTATCACTTCCATCTCGGAAGAGTTATAACTGGATTGTAGTGATAGCTCATTGATAATATCCAATAACAGTCTCTAGCAATCATTTTATTCTTTTCTAAGGTTTGGTAATACTTCTTCAATACTTTATGGTGATACATCTTGCCTTCCAGCATGAGGCAACCAAATACTTTTTGGGCCTGGCTCTTTCATTGAACTAACAACATAGGTAGTGCCAAACCTATTTCAAAAACATCGACCGAAGCTGCGCCTGATCACAGGCATTCTGTCAGAATCGGCACTTTTTAGACGGTGCGAACAAGAAGATGAGACCATAGAGCATATGCTCTATGATGTTCCTACGCTCTCATTTATTAGAATATTATTTGTATTCGGCAAGTTTTGGCTAACACCGGCCGATATAAGAGAAGTACCTCAAATGTGTAGACTGATTGATGAGCTAATGGGGGGTTACTAATTTCACAATCGGAGTAGTGAAGCCTAAGTCGTGAGGCAACTCACCCTTCACACATTACAAATACAGAGATGAGGCAATGAAGTGAAGATATGCAGATACTATTTCCGAAGATCCTTTTCCTCCGGTAGATTCGTACCACATACTGCAGTTTACTGTGATAAGTACTAAGTAGTAATAAAACCCTAACCTTAAGTTATAGGTATTGACGTAAATAATACAGTTCACTAATGTTGAGGTATGGAGTAGGTAGCGTTCTTTGTAAATCAAAAGTTAATAAACAAGTGTTGTTAATAATCTCTTCTTATTTAAAACGACAAGCAGTGTTTCAATATTTTAGACACCCTGAGAGGTAACATTGATCACTTTTGACCACTTTTGCCCTAGCGACCTCAAATATACACTTTTAGTGGGTAATGCGTTTTTTGTCATGTCACATAGGATATACCCCCAAAATATAAAGCCAAGAGGGGTTTAAGTCTGTGCCTCTGTGTTGGCCAAAAAATATAACTACCAGGGTACTAACAAAACAGTAATTATGTAACAAGGTTGGAATACTGCAGTTTACTGTGATAAGTACTAAGTAGTAATAAAACCCTAAACTTAAGTTATAGGTATTGACGTAAATAATACAGTTCACTAATGTTGAGGTATGGAGTAGGTAGCGTTCTTTGTAAATCAAAAGTTAATAAACAAGTGTTGTTAATAATCTCTTCTTATTTAAAACGACAAGCAGTGTTTCAATATTTTAGACACCCTGAGAGGTAACATTGATCACTTTTGACCACTTTTGCCCTAGCGACCTCAAATATACACTTTTAGTGGGTAATGCGTTTTTTGTCATGTCACATAGGATATAACCCCAAAATATAAATCCAAGAGGGGTTTAAGTCTGTGCCTCTGTGTTGGCCAAAAAATATAACTACCAGGGTACTAACAAAACAGTAATTATGTAACAAGGTTGGAATAAAAAGTCTATATAAGTGGAAGATTTTGAACGCGCGCATATGCAAGCTCTAAGAACCACAAGTATCGGATTTTTATTCTATCAGAGAATAACTTTCTCCACGGCCACAGACACAATATAGTAAAATGAAACTTTGAACAAAATTAAATATTCAACTTATGTTAGGCAAGTTTTTACTTAAATCATTTGCATAATTTGTCATTCCAGGAGGAGTATTATCAAATTCTATAACAGAATCAGTATTTTCATCCTTTTTTGAATTTAAGTTCGACTCAACAAACGCCGTTTATCTTTATTCGGGCAAATTCAAACTAAATAATAATACGTCGCGTAGACCTGTCAATCATGAAATTCATCTACACCTACGTTTTATATTGTAATAATTTTAAATTTTTTTTTTGTTTGTTTCAGAAATAGAAAGTGGCCAGAACCCGTCGGAGCAAACACGAAAGCTCAAAAAGCGCAGGCGCCGAAAGACCTCGCGATCTCAGACAAATAACCAGGATGAAAGTACCGAATGTAGCGAAGACGAAGATCTAGAATCCGTAGACCCGATAGTCATAGAATCCGATAAATCCACATCTAGTCCCACCTCCAAACACACAAATTGTTCGACCACCGAAGAAACAATCAAAATTAATGGTTACGTCGAACAAAAAGATGAAATAACGGAAGATTTGCCTCAGGGGCCGGTTGTAGTTCCAAATGTAGTAGTTCCTCAGGATGATAAGGGTACTATTGATCTACCTAAATCCCAAAAATACGATTTAAAACCAGACGCAGAAGAATTCGTGCCGAGAGCATACCGCACTCCAGAAATTCCTCTTAGTCCTGTACAATTCATCAAAGTGCCGCCCAACTTCGTACAAATCCCCTTACTACCATTCAATGGGCAAATCAATCCAGCATTTATTCCACCAGGAAGCATACCAATCAACTTCATACCTCCTGATCCGAAACTATTCCCCCCAAATTTCGTAAACTTCGCTCCAGGTCATCCCAAAAATCAACAGATTTCTGAAAAAGTCGATGAACTCAAAGAAGTAAAAACAAACGACCACAACTCAAAGGTCTGTGATATTAATTGCAACACTGCCAAAGATGAACTAGCTGTTAAAAACGAAAAAATTACAGAAAAAATTGTAACTAACGGCAAGGCGATCGATATTGCTACAATTGTTTCCAAATTGGAAGAAGCCGCTAAAGAACAGGAAGAAAACGACGAAGATCCAACGAAAACTCCAGATTCGGAAAACAGTCCGATAAAAAAACCATTCAGAACCAATCAAAAATACAGAAACCATTATAAACGAACCTTTTACAATAGTCCCAGGAATTCTCCTCAAAGACAAAACGGTGATGTAACGAATCTAAACGTCACAGAGTCTAACCAAATAAAATATATCGGTAGTGATAATCATACTGAAGTGCCGACTGATTCAAAATTCGTAAAAAATAATTATGAGCGCTTCAGGAAGAATTGGAAAAATGGTAACAATAAGTGGCAGCCCAACGGTGCATATAGAAGCCCAAAACAAAGTCCAACGCACCATTCGAATATCGAATCGAAGCAAAGTACAACAAAACACTATTCAGATACTCTCAAAAACGTTCCAATTACTAAAGAACAAGATCCAGAACTTGTACGGCCAGTATCGGCACCTTCGTCACCTAAAGTATGTCCGCTTGTTAACAAACTGCCTAATCAATGGATTTCTGTATCCAGTAGGAAAAAAAGAAAAAATAAAAATGTTGAAGAAAGTGACGCTTCATTTGAAGACACTACTACTACTACTACTACTACTACACCGGGAGATGATCATCCAGATGAATTCGAAAGTTACGATATCAACTTGCTTGTAGACGTTGTTCCCGTAGAAGAAATTGAAGAAACTATCAAAGTCGAAATTATCGAAGAGCATGTTGAGCAAATTATAAATAACATCGCCCAAACAGAATCCGATAATATTCAGAATAATAGTCTAACTCCAGAAATACGATTAGTTACAGACATTGAAAGTGAACTCATACTTAAGGAAGAATCACCAACAAAAGAAATTAAAATAGAGGAATTAGAAAATAAACAAGAGACTGAAATTGCTGAGAAATTAATAGATGAAGAAAATAAGTCCTCTAAGAAAAAATCGAAGAAAGGCACTCAGAAAGCCATTACCAAAAGAGTAATTATTACAGACATCGATTTGTCTGAAAAAAATGAACAAGTTAAAACCCCAATGAAAAAAATCGTCAAAAAAATTGATAAACCCAAAGAGATGCAAGAAATTGTACCAGAAGAGGTACAAGAACCAATTGTTCTGCCTGAAACGGTTAGTGAAGAACCCGAAGAAGACAAAAAGAAAAGCAAGAAGAAAAAGAAGAAGACCACGAAAACCAGTAGTCTGTCAAGTTCGTCTACAACGCTGAGTTTGGCAGAAGATGCATACGATCTTCTTCTAGATACAAGTCTGGCCACCGAAACAGACAAAACAAATGACGAAATATCCGTGGAGCTCGATAAGATGATCCAAAAAGGAATTTATAGCAGCTTAGAAGAAAAAATGAAAACTCTTAACTTAAGTGAGACGGATGGATTTTTCAAATCCATATTCAGCAAGGTGCCCATGACTGCTAAACCCGAACCCGTTGGATTCTTAAAGTCGCCAGACTTTACGAAAATACCACTAGTTAAATCGGATCCGGTAAGTGAAGACCAAAATTTAGAAAGTAAAAAAACTAATGATGAATTACCTGCTTCAGAGTCGTCGGAGATTTTTCTAGAAAGTCCGGTCGTCGACGTGATTCAACCAGAGGATCCAAAAAGTCTCTATCCCATCACCGAGGCTGTGAAAGAATGGATGTGCAGGACTCGTGAAACTACGCCGGACGTGGAGATTTTCAAAAGCCCGAGTACTATTTATAAAGAATTCTGCGAAAGTGATACGAACAGTGACACTGAAGTGTGGAATTCGCGTAACTTATCAGACGAACTAAGTGCTAGTGTTGAAGATGACGAAATTACTCTTTTCACTACCGAAGAAGCGGACAAAACAGAACAAGGAAGCAACGAAGACCTTCTCGAATATTGGGAAGACTTAAAAACCGAAGAAAAGAAGATCCTGAATAAAGAAGAAATCGACAAGAACGAAGATGGTGAAGAGTTGGAGGTTTACGAAAGCAAATACGGAAACAATGAAGATTTTTTGAAACTACAAAAGGAAGTACAAGAAAAGGCGAAAAATATCAATTATCCAAAACACGGCAACTTACCTTATAGAGCAATATGCTGCAATTTAATGTAATAAGAAAATTAAGGAATACCAAAAAGGCCTATATAATTTATTATACATGTTTAAACTATGTAAAGCATCTTTTTAAGTTACATTGAATGTTATTAAGAGATTTTAATTGAGCAAAATATAAAAGATTAAAATATCTTTATTAAATTGTTTAGAATAATTTTGATCAAAATCATATTAGGCAACAAAAAAAACTGTTGATTTTTAAAAATGTACCTATCTAAAACCGAGCAAAAATGGTACATCCTTCCTCCTGGGGTTAAAAAATTCTAAATTATATTTAGAATTTGAAAAAATAATCTCTTTAATTATTTAGTTTATTAATAATAAAAACTCTCCCTATAATTCAACCTCAGAAGAGATTATGCGGGGAGGGACGACTATTATTATTTGTTTTGGCGCCCCTAGGGCGACTTCTTAGAAAATGTGTTTTTTTTACTTAGGATGTACACGTCCAAAGTCTTATTAGAACGAATAAAGATGGCTTCCTTTTATATAACTTTATTTGGAAATAATATAATTGTATGATTTTAAATAATTAAGAAACATATTAAGAACTATAAATAGAGAACAGCAGTAGGATCCTATATATTGGGTTAGGCGAATAAAAACAAGTAAATGCCTTTCCATGACAATTTTTAATTGGTAATTGAATAATTATTATAGTACCTACTTGCTCGCATTCCGAAGTAAATACTTTTTTTTATATTCACTATTCAAAGTAGACTTTTGGAGCAAATGCCGATTAAGCGCAAAACTTGGGATCCCAGCATGGATCTTATAATCGGATGTGCCAATTGAGCGCAAGGATTTAAAATGGTATGTTACGATTGAGCGCAAAACGGAAGAAACTAAATTTAGTTATTTACAGATCTAAATGTATGTGTTTGATGAAATTTTAAATTATTTTTATTTTAAATAAATATATTAATTAAAAATGTAATTTTAATGGGATTTGTTGCATAAAAGCATACAAATAATTTAAAAATAATATTTATTGTCACACTTTATAATTTACAGTTTGTACGAAAGCAATCCTAGAAATATTTTTTCTTTTAGTTAATTAAATTTGAAATATATTCTAAACGTTTCTTATAATTAGTATTTCTAATTTTGTTTTTAAAATGAACACTAATTAATTCAATATAGGTTTGTGTTTGGACACTTTTCAATTCGTTTAAAAATACAAATATATTTGGATAAGTACAATAAAATTTAGCGTTGAAGTGGCTATGAAATGACTCACATGCGTTGGTACTTCTTTCTCTACTAGCTGAACATGAAGCCCATATTTCTGGTGGAAATCTTGCTAACTCACTGATGTAATTGTCCGTTAAATAATCACAGAAAGCAGTAGCTCTAAGGTCAGCAGGAACAGTAGCTATGAGGTCTTCTACAAAACAGCTAGCGACTTCGGTGTCTTCCAGAAAGATGAGGCCAAATGTCCAACGCAACCATTTTCCTATTTCGCTCGCTGTGTTGGTGTATTCTCCTTTAAGTCCAAGGTTTTGGATTTTTCGCATCCAAGCTTGCGAAATGTGGAACCTGTATCCAATTATTGTAATGTTGGGCCATACAGCCCGCGCCGCCTTGTGTGTTGCTTCTTCGAAGTCGCACGTGATTTTAGATGGAGTAAAAGAAATGTTATCTTTTTCACATGCATCTATTTTACGATCGGAAGACTTCTTCGTAACTCTCAGCTTTTTTGTTTTTAACTAACGCAAAAACTAGTGGAATGTAATGCCCATTTTTGACAGCATATATTATGAATAATTGCATAAAAAATTTCAAAGAATATGTAAAAGTTCCATCACAAAAAAATTTGTCTTCTTCACAAAAAAATTGTAAATTTCTTTTGGTGCTAAAGACAATAATTCCCTTGTCCTTGTCTACCGAAATTAAAAATTTTTCTCCTGCTGATGTTTGTATATCCATGTTTTCTAATGCTTCAAAGACTTCATTGATATTTTTTGGGAGAGGCGGAAGTAGTTTTCTTCTGGAGCGGTATATAGCATGCCGAATATTTGCTACATCATTTGAAGTTGCTGAATGAACCTCACCGCCAATTTCCAAATTGAAAATTTTGTTTGGACGAACAGAAATATCTTTGCGAAAAGTAAAATTATGAAACACTATAAGTTTTTGACCGCGTTCACTCATCACGAATTCCATTTTTAAAATAAAATATTAAATTGAAAATCATCATTATAACAACAAACCCTGCAATCCCTTCTCCTACTATAGGTAATCTTGTTTTGAGAAATTCGTTGGCGACCAATTGGCGACAAATTACCATAAACAACCTCGTAGAGAATTTGCTTTAAATATAATTTAATTATCTAGATTAGGGAAATCTATTGGGAAGTTTTGATAAATCCATTAAGAAATGGTTATCATCTTAATCCTTCCGTTGCGCTCAATCGGCATGTAAAGTTGCCCCTATGGGGTATAATATGGTTGCGCTCAATCGGCTACACCGGACTTTTGTGCTTCGAAATCCAACCGCAAATAGGCCTTTTCATCACAATTTTTTTGTACGCATGCGTCATTATCAGCCATCTTTTTCGTACTATTTTTTGTAAGCAATGTTCACGTAAAAAAATTATACTCGATAAATATTAATTTTAAGCATATTCATTTAAAAAAAGAAAAAAAAAGTAAAGTAATAAGTGTCTTAATTGAAAAATACATTTTTGCAATCAATTAATTATGTTATCTGTACGGAAAGGAAAAACGAAACGGTATTGTTATAGAGTATGTAAAAGTGACACACGGTATAAATCATTCAAAGGTAATACATTATTATTTTATAAATTTTCCAAAGACTTGCCTGCAATATCGTAAAAGAAACTATCAAATCATTCATTATGCAAAATACATATTAAAACACGTTTAAAATGAGCATTATGAGTGAAAAAATGTGGTCGAAGTGACAAAGGTTTTCGATTGATTGATGATGTTACTAAAGATACTTATATTTTTTGTTCACTACATTTTCATAGATAAAGTGGTTCAACAGAAGAAAATTCTTGTCTGGTATTACACAATATTTTTTTTTAATATTAAATACTTCGGTATACACAGTAATATTATTAAAAATGTCATGTTGATCCTTAAAATTTAATTAATTTATCTTAATAATTATACTGGTGATTAACTTTTATATTAAAGTGTTTTTGCAATTTCTAATAGTTGGTTGGCATAATTAATTAAAATAGTTATAATTATTATTTGTTTTCATTAATTTTTTACACAGTTAACAAGTATTGAAATCTAACCTCTCCTCAATTAACACACTTTTATTCCTTGTTCCGAACGTCCACGACACTTCCAGCATCTTTTCAATTGCTCACAACTATATGCTTCCACAGAGTTATAAAAATGTAAATCACCATCAACGATTTTTTCTAATGATTGATTTGTATGTAGAGATAATATTGCTTTCCCAGCTATTGTTGATCAAAACAGTACGAAACTTTTGAATTGGCGCTATTTTAACATGGCGGCTGCGCTTGCGCTCATAACATGATGAAAAGGCCTATTGAACCGACATTAATTGAAAACTTTGTTGCTCACTGCGCCATAAAATTGACAGTTTTTTGCTCGCCTCCTTTCTCGTGGCAGAAAGCATGTAAATTGAACATATGTTTCAGGCAACATAGGGCCGTTTGCGCCACTTCAACTTACGATTATGGTTTAGCTAAGGTGTACCTTGACTTAAGGTGAACCTTAAGTTTGGTATATTTTGCATAGGTTTCACTTAATAAAATCTATGCTAAGGTGAAGAACAACTTGGCAGCAGTGTAAAATTTTAGAGAATTTGTATATTACTAATCAATGTCAGTGTCGAATTGTCATTTATTTGATTAAAGTTTGTGTTGTAATTTTGCATTTTGTACTTTAACAGTTAAGATGGAAAATAAAACAAAATTAAAAACTTAAACCAAGTGTTAAAGAAAAGAGTTTATTATTAAACATTCTATACCGCTATCAAAACTTTCAAAATATTGCATTCTGTGATAAATATGTCGACGTATCCCAAAAATAATTAAATTTTAACTCATCAAAATCGTCATCATCATCGAAAATATGTTCCAAAAATTCCATTTATACTTTATTTCGGCCACACTTTTATCTAATTCTAATTATATTATTTTCTATTGATAAACATATTAAACTTGTCAGATTGACGTTAAAAACATGCAAAGTAGAACTTAAACCGATGATACCTTCGGCTTAGTTTCACTATTACTTAAGTACAACTTAAACTATTTGGATTGTGGTCAGAAAATGAAATGTGCAACTTAGGTGATACTCAAAGTTAAGGTTCACCTAAGAGGAAGTGGTGCAAACGGCCCTATATTTTCATAATATAAAATTAGTTTTTATCTAAATTAAACAATATTTATAAACAATATCCACTAGAACGATTCAGGAGGTAGACACGATACGCATTTTTTACACTTTTCAAGTACCTAGGCTATTTGCAATTAAATTCATTTGATATTTTTAGTTTATACATATATCTTTATTAAAATAACGTGATCGTAGAAAAATCTTGTGTGTACATTTTGAGGCGTCGCGCGGGAAACTTTCTGTTTCCAGCGGCATAGTATCACTCTAAATTCACAAATAGCTATTACTTATTTTGATATAAAGTAAATACTTAAAATTTAGTAAGTTTTCATTTTTATGTAAGGTTGGTCAACGAATTTAAATCCATAAATCAGAATGGTTGCATTTATACAATAATTGTACACGTGCTAGAAAAACTTACAGACAACGTAAGAATATGTGTCCATAAACAATACTTGTAAAAACATTTATTTTAAATTTCAAACAAAAGCCATTTATCATAATTTCTTTTGCTTGTTAAATAAATACGATTCACGTTGAGAAACTTTGTACAGGGTGTGCAAAAATACAACAATTGTGTATTTGTAAAATTAAAAATTTGTAAGTAAAATTTTTTGGAAACATTTTAATAAAAAACTTCATTTGACTATATAAGAAACGGCTGTTGTAAAACATTAATTATTAGACTATGAAAGTGATTTTTTTTCTATTTTTCTGCTATTTTTATTTTTACTGGTATTTATTTTTGAAGACGCGGGACACTAACAACTCTTTATCGTGACATAAGTTTAAATTTGTTGATAACATCGTGCGTATTAACTTTAACATCTTGAAGTGAATAAGGATTTAAGAGAAAATCCTCGGCAAAAGAAATAGAGTATTCTGTTATTTACAGGCAAGTAAAGGCTTTCCTCGTTTTTATTCATTTGACTTACCTATTAGTTTTTCTACTTTTGTTTTTTTTTAACAATAAAAACATAAATTAAAAAATAATATATTTTTTATGGCAGATCAACTGAACGGCCTTGGTACACAAATATCTATTGTATTATGAAAACTACGAATACCATTCAAAGTAGGCTTTTATGCTATATAATCTGAGCTAAAAGTTGACGTTTCCTGCAATCTGTCATTATATTCCAACTTTTCCGGTTTAGAGCAAAAAAAATGTCATTTTACTAATATGAAACATTCGAAGATCACAGGAGGTGGGTTCCATCCGTAAAATTTACACAAAATATCAAATAGGTAGTTTTACTAAAATGATATTAAATTTTTAACAAAAATATTTTTAAACAGAAAGTTCTGTTGCTGTTCTCGATCACAAAACTAGTTATTTTATTATTTATTTTTATTGACACAAC